ATGGTGCACGACTGGGACTCCAACTGAAGTCAACAAGAGCCCCTGCAGGCACATCTGAAAGCAGCATTGATCTATAATCACATTTACTGGAATACAAGCACATAGAGGCCCTATCTTACTACACTGAACATATTGGGAAGATTTCTATTGCAAGGAAAATAGGATTAGAACCCAATTCATGCAGGACACGGTGGCTAGTGCCATGCCATCAGCTTTTAGGCAGAGCTCTCTAGTGTATTAAATGAGGGTGTTTCTTAATCACTGATGGCAAATCCATTGTTTGAGCACATTTCTGCTTTTATACAGAGGAAATATCCCTGTGTACAATGAAAAGACTTACAAATGCTAAAGACTTTTGAGAGTAAGTCTATTAGATGATTCAATTATTACACATAGATTTGGTGCAAGTACTCATCTGTATGTGTGTTACAGAGCTCAAAATAGGATAACGAAGCATATGTATTATACTACTATGCATATATATAATTCATACAGCAAGACAGGATTAGGTCCTGCAGTCTTATACACCTATGTGAACAAAGATTTAGTTTCATTTGATGGCCCTACTGTGTGGAAAACCAGCTACGACACTGCCTTGAAGGGGTGGACTCAAAACAGGGCTTCTAGTTTCCACAGGTAAAAAAAGAGGAAAAAAAAGTATTTTCTATAAGCAGACTGCATTCTTTACAGGGAAAAATATTTACTGTACCTAAAATAGCTCTAAAGAACACCACTTTAACATGCAAATGGGGAACTCTGAAGCTCAAGGATGTAATTTTCTTTTAAGACATTTTGAAGAAAGTTTAGCGCTTATCCAACCCAGGTGACAGCACTGGAGACCCGAGTCTTTGATTCCTCACAAAAGCAGGCAATATCCCTGCAAATCCTCATCACACCGACTTCCACGTTAGTATTTTATCCACATGCCTTTATTCTGGGGAGAGAGCAACACTCCAGGTCTAGGGGAGATACATCCATTTCTTGCCTCTACACCAAGCTGTCTCTCTCTGCTTCAAACCAAGTGCCTGGCCCAGACAGTCTTTCTAAAGTACACCGGTGATGGGGACTGGGACGTCAACCAGCAATCAGCTTCACAAAAGCAACCAAAGAGACACCTCGTGGTAACAAGTCTCAGACAGTTCTGGTCCAGAAGGCACCTGAATCAGGAACTTCGAGGGCCAAGTCTTTCAGCTGCTGATTTCCTGAACTATGCTGTGGCTGATGTTTTATTGATAAGTAATTACAGGCAGCTCCAAATTGCCACAGCTACGGAAATTACAATAAGCCAAGTAGAAGCCTGATATTCAGGGGGTCTTGATTCAAGCAGAATAAAGAGACATTATTTTTACAGAGGACCATACCAAAAATGCAAAATTAGTTGTCTCCCTCGTATGGAAACAAAAGCAGTTGCTGGTTTATACCTTATTAAGTCAGTACTACGAACAAGAACAGGAGTCCTGTGCTCCCTACACTGACTTCAGCTTTCTCCCGGAACGGAAACTGCCACGGAGTGGCACTGTTCACAGATACCAGTGTGCACAGGAAAGATGTCACAGCAGGAAATTTTGGTTTAGCCTATTTTGTAGCCCTCTTAGCATCAGTCTCCATCTGGATATCCCCACAAAATATTTTTCTGCATTCCACTACCTTTTTCATTGATTTAAATCATTCCATTATCTCCACTGCTGACCACAATGCAGTTTATTTTCAGAATTTAATCCAGCCTAGAAATGATGCAGCAGTGCCACATTCCCAAACCACAAACATGTAAAAAATCAGGATAGACAGCAGTTTAGATGATCTGGGCAGGGGGTCTTGCCCTAACAGACATATGTGACATGCTCTCTTGGCAGCACACACTTACATCCATCTGTTGAGATGGAACTGAGCCCGCTGCACTTCCATCGTCCTGTTTTTAGTTCACATGCACCACATACGCTCTGGGTTCAGTAGGCAGGGCGCACAGTGCTGCGAATCCTAAACCTGACTTCTATTGTCAGCATGGAAAACATTGCAAGAATTCTCACTGTGGGGGAGTGGAAGGGGAACATGGAAACAACAACCAGCCCTGGGCTCCTAGGAGGAAAGCAGATCTTTCCAATAGGAAAACAACAGATCGTGAGCATTACCATGTTAGGTTTAATTTCTTATGGTCAGTGAATTCAGCAAAAGCAAACTGAACTTTTTTATATGCCCACAGGCACCTGTAATTAGACCTCTGGAATTATCACTTTGTCTTCCACTAGACACCAATGAACAGCCAGCTTAGCCTTATGAATGATAAGAAGTAAAACCTAGTTTTCACACATATTTCTACATGAGAAAAAACCTAAATTATTCAGAAAACAGCAAAAGGTAGTAGCCAGATAACACACAGCACCTGTAAAGCACCAGCAGGTCACAGTGACCCACATACAACTGACTGCCATTACTGTGAGCCAAAACCTGCAACTGTTTGCCTTGAGAATGTGAAGAGGTATCAGGAAGAAGCATGAACATTCCTGCATGAGGTGAGGATTATGAATCTGCGTCAGAAGAGACAGCATCAGGGGAGCTCAGGGCTTTCCCTGCACAGTCAGTGGCATAAAATTGTTTCCCTTCTTCCAGATAACTTGGCAGGGACATTTGTTCAACATTAGCTAAGTGACAGTGGCTGAGAGGGGAGCTAAATCCCAGCCAGAGCAGCACCACACCTTTGAAGCTTGAAACACCTTTGCGATGCAGATTTAAGGCTCTGTGTTCTTTGTTCCAGACTTTGCTGCCATTAGTGTAAATGAGGGTTTACAACGGCCTTCTCAGGCTAGCCATAATATGGTAACGTGGCATTAATAACTTAATACAGTATTAACTGATAGACAATCAGTATTAGCACAATGCTTACATTTGCAAACCATTATAGAGCATAGCATCTCCAATTCTCATCCTGCCAGTAATTCAAATGTGGAGCTCATTACACAACAATTGACATTTCCCTTCCAAACCTGCACCCCGCTCCGCATGGACCCCACGCCTACCCAGGGCGACCAGCCCTGTAACCGCTCGCTGATTTAAATTCCCTGCAGAACAGCCATGGCATTTCGCTCACTTGAGGCTGCAGCTACTGTTTAAAACACCACGTGCGAAAAGCTGCACGGGGGGCTCTGAAAGCGGGGCCTCCCATAGCACCTAGCGGAAGGAAGCAGGTCCCAGCCTTGCTCTCAGACCCATCTGCCCCGCCCCACGCCTCTGACCTAACTTCTGACAAGGCAGGGCGCAAGGCACCGGCCCTAGCTTTTGGGATAATTTGAGTACGTTTACTTACAGACTTGGGTGCGATTATTTAGCTTTAGCATCGCAGCGACCGTCCCACCCATGACAGAGGGGGGTCGCGGTGCCCGACCCTAAACCGAGTAGCTGGGACTCAGGGAGCCGCGGCCGGGCAGCGGAG